TGTTTCCCTTCTCACTACGAGATAGGGCAGCACGATGGTTGAATACGTTCCCGAAAGGACATTTCACCACATGGGAGGCGCTTCATCAAGCCTTCATGCACGAATACTTCCCACCATCTGCCATTGCAAAAATTAAAAGATCTATTCAGAGTTTTTCTCAAAATTCGACTGAATCTTTAAGTGAAGCATGGGAAAGATTCAAGGATCTGAAGATCAAATGTCCACCTGCTCTAATTGATCCTGACAGCCTAATGTTCCATTTCTACCAAGGACTTCTGGTTTCATCGAAGAAAGAACTAGACCACTCTTCAAAGGTCGGTTCTTTCCTAGATATGACGTCGGAGGAAAATGAGGAATTGGTGGAAAAACTCACATCAAATGCAAAATACTGGTACGAAGACCGAGTTCCACAACAAAAAGCTGGAATGTATGAGGTGGACACTTTCACAGCACTCAAGGCAAGTATGGAAAGTCTCATCAAGCGAACCATCCAAGATCAGTTCAGTGCAAGTTCGCATCCAAACAAACAACATGAATCAATTGCTCAGGCCGATGCTTACTATCAAGGAGGATCTAGTTCACACCAAAATGAACTGGTCGCGTCTTGTGAATCTTGTATAGGTGCACATCTGACATCTCAGTGCCCGTACAATGAAAGCACAACAAAGGAACGACAGCGTGAAGTACACTTGGCACAATATGCCAACAAAGGGGAAGGACCATGGGCCCCTAATCAGTACCAGCCAGCTTATCAGCGCGATGATCCTTCGAGGGAGCGCAACAATAACAATTTCCAGCGAAATAATTGTTCAAGGGACGATTACAAACAAGGCGGCTGGAACAACAACACCAATTGGAATAGTCAAAGAGGGTCTGGCTATAACCAAGGGGGAAATACTCAAGTGTATGTTCCCCCACACTAAAGACAAGTTGAGGATCCTATGGCCGAAATGAAAAGGATGATGGAGGAGCAAAATAAGAAGACTGAAGAACGAATACAAAGGTTAGAGGAATCTATGAGACAACTAATGGATAAGATGACAATCAGACCTCCTAGAACTCTCCCGGCCAAAACTGAAACCAATCCACGCGAACATCTTAACGCTGTTACTCTACGCAGTGGAAAGGAAGTTCAAGGCGTTGGTCAAAGTACTGAACCAACATTGGAGGAGGAGTCTGAGGTTGAACTAATTAGTCAACCAACTGAAGAAAAGAAGAAGGAACCAGAAAAGAAAGAAGAAAGGAAGGATAAGGAACCTTCCCAGTCCCAGCATCCAAACAGCAATCTCCTACCAAAGAAGGTGACAGTACCCTTTCCATCAAGGGTAAAGAAGAAGAATGATGATCAAGCTTTCAAGAAGTTTTTAGACATCATGGGCCAAGTGGAAGTTAAGTTGCCCTTGATTGATGTCTTAACTGAGATGCCGAAGTATGCCAAGTTCATCAAAGACTTGGTTATGCATAAAAAGGACTGGGAAGGGGTTTCAATGATCAATCTGAATGCGAGCTGCTCCGCGTTGCTACTCCAACAATTACCTGAGAAGTGCAAGGATCCAGGTAAATTTTCTATCCCCTGCTCAATTAAAGACATGCACTTTCAACATGCGCTAGCAGACTTAGGCGCGAGCATTAATTTGATGCCCACATCAATCATGGAATAGTTAGGAATTACTGAACTTAAACCTTCACGGATGTGTGTTCACTTAGCGGATAGTTCTGTCCGTTACCCTCGGGGAATAGTTGAGGACATACACGTAAAGGTTCATAAGTTCACATTCCCAGCCGATTTTGTGATTCTTGATATGGAAGAGGATTCAGAAATGCCTCTAATTTTGGCTCGGCCATTTTTAGCAACTGCTAAGGCCCTAATTAATGTTCACGAAGGGGAAATGACTTTAAAAGTTGGAGAGGATGAGTGTACCTTCAAACTAACAGACATGATGCACAATTCTCCAGACCCTACCGAATTTTGTCATTCTGTCAAAATATTGAAGGACAAAGGGTCTGTCGAGACGCTTCTTGGTCTAGAGGCAGTATTGAAGGAGGAAGAGAATGAAGGGATTAAGTGTGAGGATGTTCAGGAAGTGGAAACAAAGGGATCTGATACCCTAGAACTGAAGCCACTTCCCAAACATTTAGAATATGCATTTCTGGATGACGAGGGCAAATGCCCGGTTGTCATTGCATCTGAATTGACTGTGGATCAAAAGGCCGAACTATTGACCGTTCTTCGACGGCACAAGCAAGAAATTGCTTGGAAGTTGGAGGATATTCAAGGAATCAGCCTGGCCTTTTGCACCCACAAAATTGCAATTGAAGAAGGGTTCAAGCCTGTTGTTCAAACACAACGGAGGCTTAATCCAAAACTAATGGAGGTAGTACAAAAGGAAATCCTCCGATTGTTAGACGCAGGTATTATATACCCAATCTCTGATAGTCGGTGGGTTAGTCCTATTCATGTTGTCCCAAAGAAGGGAGGAATGACTGTAACACCTCAATCCGTCCAGGTCTGCAGCCCCTTTCGGACTAAAGTATAAACTTGGTATTTGTAAACATTCAAAAGGTTTCAAGCATTTTAAAACTTTATTTCATAATAAAGTATTCAGAATAATAACAAAGTAGTTAATGTTGCGGAAGCTGAATAAATAACAATTACAAAACATAATAGTATTATGTCTTTTTAAACTTTTAATTCATTTTACACATCCACTTTGACCATCTCGCTCCGTCTGCCGCCATGATTCCATCACATCATTCTTTTTGTTTACCTGCGTGTAGCAAATAAAACATACTACACGCTCAGCGTTGAAGCTGAGTAAGCATATCTAATGCATCGAACATCCATATAAATTGAATCTCAATTCATAATTAACCATTTGATATTATGCACACAATACATATTTCAAGCTTACATTATTCATAATATTCATAATATTTTATTTTAAGTCATTTCATGATATATTCAAAATTCAAAATATTTCATCAGTGCTCTTAAATTATTCTTAATCTAAGGCCAAATCATTTTTATACAAGCTCTTAGCTATTCCTAGTCTAAGGCAATATTTCTAACCAGGCCCTTAAACTATAAATAGTTTAATGCAGAACACAAGAATCGATAATCCACCCTATGAGTCACGTGGATTACGTACCAACCGAACAGTGATCTGTCGGGTGGGTGATATCCGGTCTGGATCCCGTACGTACGTTTTAACCCCGAATTATAAATTGGTCAAGGAGGTATATCTTAGAGTTCTTCTAGATATCCTTAA